TCAAGTTCTCATCTTTCCTGGCATTTGATCAGCTTAGATACGAAAGCAGATTGCTCAACATCTTGTCGAATAGCACCTGAGGTCCTCTGGCTAAGTGCCTTCTTCCAAAACATTTTTTTTTCCCCACTTTATTTTGCTGCCAATGATACATTAAGTTTTGCCCTTGGCTATACTGAAGCAGGATCAGGCCCCCTTGTTTTGGTCATTTATATACAAGAGATGCTTTTAGACTGTCAGGCAGCACCTGAGGCCTAGAGGGGACTGCTAGACATAGCTAAACTAAACTAGAGTAAAACAGCTGAAAGGGACAGAAGGCTAAGAAAAATATATCTGGAGAAAGTTGTCTGAAGACCATCTTTTCATGGACTTGTGTGTAGTTTTATTGGTGTGTCCTTCAATGCAGCACTAAAAGAAACAATTCACCTACTTATGTGGCCTCTCTCAACTCACGTCAAAATCAATTAGTCACCTCTAGTAGAGGGGCTGTGATGGGCATTTATGTCCAAACCATTAATAGGCAATACACCTTTCTCAGACGCAACTGTTTACAAAATCTACGTCTGTTTACATCCCTCAGCAACTTAAAAGCTGGTTAAGTTTTCAGCTAGGTATTTTGCAATATATACATAGAGTAATGAAGCAGAACTGGATGTTCAGTCAGAAGAAAGACAAGACCTCTGCAAGAACAGCTTCCAAGCAGTAAAAATTGAAAAGCATTTCTGGTTTGATAGAAGCCTTTCTGGTTCACAGAATGTTTGGTTTCTACCCAAGGTTAATCCTTTGTTGTTGTGTTTATAAAGAAACTTTTTGCCAAAGTTCTCGTTTCCAGTTGTTCTTTAGGATGCCCAAATGGGGCAAATCTATTCTTGCTTGATGCCTTTAAAAGTAGACCAGAAACAAACTTGACCTCATATTTTCAAAACTTAAACATGATTACTCCTTCTTCACCATCTTATTCACTGCTATGTCCTATGATCTCCCTTAATCATGTATTTTTTCACCATCATCCAACTAATGAATTAAGGCTTTCATGGTATAGGAACCGATTCTAGCTGAACCAACTCACCAGTAAACTCCCTCTGATAGGCTTGTGAGAAAAGGGCTGTCATTTAGTGAGGAATCCAGATGCCCCATTCCCCTTGAGGCTGTTTAATTCATGTG